GGCAGTGACTCCTGTATGACGTGGGGTCGCGGCTCCTGTATGACACAAGCAGTGACTCCTGTATGACGTGGGATTGTGGCTCCTGTATTACCTGGGCAGTGACGCCTGTATGACGTGGGATTGTGGCTCCTGTATGACCTGGGCAGTGACTCCTGTATTACAAGGCAGTGACTCTGATATGACAAGCAGGGGTTCCCGTGTGATGGGGCAGTGGCTCCTGAGTGACATGGGCAGTGGTTCCATTATGATATTGGAGAGGCCAGGTCCATCTTGTGCACACTTGGGGTGACTTTGGCATTGTTACTGCAAGATCAGTCAGCTGTGACCTGCAGACCATCTTTGCTGGGGCAGGGAGAGTCAGGCCTGAGTCTGTCTCACAAAGGTCTTTGCAAAAAGTCACTTCTGCACCTAGATCAGTCAGTGCCGATTGAGAACTCCAGGAGTACCAAGGACGAGGCTTGGCTCAAGCAAAATGTGAGCGGCCTGGAGGGAGTGGAGATGCTTACAAAGGGTCTCCATTCCAGGCAGTCCAGTGGCAGGCAACACCAAGACTAGCTGGGCCCTTGGAAGCATCCGGGCCCACCTCACCAGGGCCTCCAGCCCGCACACCTGGCAGGGACGCTGTCACTCAGCACACATTGAACAGAGAACTGACTGAATACAGCCTCCTGCTGGCCGGGGCCTCCCTGGCCCATGTGCTGCTGCTGAGGGTCCTCCCCCAGAGCACGGGATCCTTCCACACCAATGACTTTAATCCGTTTCAATATCAGAGACCTGTGTAGGACTCTGGAAATTCAGAGGGTGATTGACTCTTTTCCCAATAACTGCTGTGAAAAACAGAACAGATGAATTCTAGAAGAACGTCTGAAATTCAAGCATCCCATGAAGTATCTCCACTGGTGGGTTCCTTACAGCTAGTCAGCAAATGAAACCAGAGTCGCCCACCAGTATCCTGGTGAGTCATCGCCAGCCTGAATTATTAGAAAGGGATGGCTGTCCCGGCTGGCATCTTCCCTTTCATCTGCTGCTGTTCCCTTGTCCTGTGACATCAGTGTTGTCATCCTATGAGAATTGTCAACATCACCTCATGGGTAAGAAATCAATTCCTGCTACGTTCTCTACAGCTGCTTCTGTCTGGGAATGAAGGAAGGCGTTTTATTATAAAAGAAAGTTTGTATTCAAGTTTCTATTCATGGAACTTGAAGGAATGGAACTTCCTGAAACCAGGAGGTTCAGAAAGATAGGAAGAAGATTATCATCTCAAAAGAACACGCCTCGTATCATCTGGTGGAAAGCAGGGGTGGGGAGATGGTGCTCCGTGCTGCAAGTCAACCGGCAGTTTTGAGAATGCCATAAATTGGATTAAGGATTGCACGTCGGAAAATAAAGTTGTCTGCTGATATGGGGCCTTTTCATTTGGGGCTGTGGCAAACCTCATAAGCCTGCAGCACTTCTGAGAATGGAGCCAAACCAGGGCATTCAATCGCAGAGGTTAAAGTGATTCTTCCACTGAGTTAATCTAAATCTAGATCATATTGAATCTGCCTCCTGTCTGGCATGGAAACGTTTTCCAAGGTATTCACGTTGAAAGTATGAATTACCCACACTCTCCTTAAAGCCCCATCCAATTAAAAGTAGATGAAAATCTCCTTGATGCCAAGGACTTTAAAACATGCCGGGGGTATGAGAGATATATATTTACAGGAAATCTGATAGAAAATACAACCATGTAACCTGCGGGCGAGTCTGAGAAGATGTTTACTCAGGACTTGTGTTTCTTTTTAAAACAATTACTTTCGTTATGTATCTAAAGTGCCTCCTGTGTCCTTTCGGATAAAGACAGATTAGGCCTTTACTCAAGAATGAATCAGAAGCCCTGGCATTCTAGGCAGCTAGAGAGTTTGTATTCACTTTCAGAAAACCGAAAAAGAAATCCGATGAAAGAGACCAACAAGGAAAAGTAATGTTTTCTTTGAAATGGAAATATGCTTAGAGAGGAAGTGGTCACTGGAGTCTTAAAAAAACATTAAAAGTAGAGAAGTTCTCCCTTCCCAGAAAATGTGAGCTAGGGCCCTGGACAGAAGAAAGACTTAGAGCAGCAAAGTGAGGTATTCCAGGAACAGGAGGCAACTGAACCTTCAGCAGGATGGGGGAGACAGACAGGGACTCTGGGAAGGGACCCAGGTGGCCGAGCGGGGACCGGAGGCAGGCCGTCTCTGGCCACCTCCTACCCTCCCTGGACACTGGTCCCAGCTCTGAAATCTTTGTCTTCTTTGGGCTTATTTTTATTTTGTTATTCAAAGTATTAAAATGCAGCTCTGATTCTAGAATAACTTTTACTCTCATCAAAAATAGCAGATGGTTTCTTTACATCGTAGCTCTGACAAGAGTATTTTGGGAGCGTTTCAGTAAAACAGTGTTCTTAAGCTTATCTGGTGGCTCTGAAGTTAGTGAGGCCTTCAATGGGGTCATCCTAAAAAGAAAAGGCAAAGGCCAGCGGGCAGGTGCCAAGGGTGCCAAGAGCGACCCAAGTTTGGGGCTTGGCAGTCTGTCTACCCTGTGGGAACCTGGAGTTCAAGACCACCCTGGACTCTTTTCAAATCCATTCTGGCAGGAGGTGGGGAAGTGCTGCTATGTGGCTGTCAGGAACAAGGACTTTCAAAAAGGCCACACTGGGTTAAGTCCACCGCTTAGCTGCTGTGTATCCTTGGCAAAGATAGTTACCAGCCTGATCTCTAGATTTCTTATCTGCAAAATGGGTATGATGCACATGCCCACCTGACAAGGTGATTGGAGCCCTTAAATGAGAGCGCCCAGGTGGCCGGACATAGAGTAAGCTGGGAAAAGCCGAAAGCGCCTTTGCAAAAAATCAACAGTAAAGACGTGATGGCAGTAAAAGAGATCTGACCTAAATCCTGCCCTCCCCTGCACCCCAATCATACCTCTCCTGCAACCATTCCTGGGCTTTGGCTAAGCCAACTTTGGGAGACCTCTGGTTTATAGTATAAATGATAATAGGCCTTTCCCAAAACCCAGCCGCCTTTATAAAGCTAATGAAAGGCTATCAGGCTAGGAAGAGGAGAGGACCCTGAATTCTGCTAAGGTATAGACTGGTCAAAAGATATGCAACTTCACTATTGTAGATTAGCCTTTTGAGATCTTTTCAGGTTTTTTGCATGTCTGACACCTGGCTCCACCCAGACCACCGACCCCACTCCTATGGCCCACCTAGAAGCAACGCAGTTCAAGAGGACAGCTCTGACACCCTGTGATTTCACCTCTGACCCAGCCCATTAGCAGCAAGCACCCATTACCTGGCCGCCACCACCCCTTCTCCCAATCTGCCTTTGAAAAACCCCTCACCTAGGAGCCTTTGGGGAGATTGATTTGAATAATGACTCCATCTCCCACGTGGCACTATTACTGGTGGCAAATCCATACGGGGCTGCAGCAACCTCAGTTCTCACCTCCTGAGAAGAAGGAATTCGATTGAGAGACATAAAGCAGAAGAAGAGACTGAGGCAAGTTTCAGAGCAGAAGTGAAAGTTTATTAAAAAGTTTTAGAGCAGTGATGAAAAGCTGGTACACTTGGAAGAGGGCTAAGCAGACATCTTGGAGGTCAAGTGCCCCATTTGACCTTGGACTTGGGGTTTATATGCTGGTCTACTTCCAGTGTCTTGTATCCCTTTTCCAGTGGAATGCCCCTGGAAAGTTACCAGTTAAATGCTGCCATTTTGCCTCTCAGTGCACATGCTTGAGCCCACTCATTCAACTCCTGAGATCTTACCAGGAAGTTACTGATCACCAACTTAAGGTGTTTCTAGCTACTGGAAGACTGCCTTTCCCTGGCACTGGCTGTGACAAATTATTATTTTATGAGAGATGGTGTAACAACTGCCTGACCATCACCTGATGGTCACCTGACTTTCCTGATAGGGTGTCAGGGGAGCCCTCTCCTGCCCTGCTCGTGCCTGACTAGCTACCTACTATAACAGCATGGCTGGTCTTCCGTCAGTCAAACTCTTTCTTTACTGCAATGCCTTAGTCTTTTTTTGTGCAGCAGGCAGGTAGGGGCTCAGTGCCAAGGGTGGTCCAGGTTTGGGGGCTGGAAAGCCCGGCCTGTTGGATGCTTACAAAGCTGTCACCTCTGTTGCTGTTGTGGTCATTTCTGCCCTCCTGGGGATGGCAGTGCACCCAGTTGTGTTCAGCATCCCAGCAAGGAATGGAGTGAAAGTTACAGGGGGAATGCGTGGCTCCCCTGAGGACTGGCGCTGACCTCTTGTGGGAATGATGGCAGGTGAGAAGTGGTGATTTGTGGCTGGGAACGCAGCATGTGGGATGGTAGGAGGCTTTCCTGATTATAAATCAGCATCCTGCAGTTCTATTCACTAAACCTTGTTAAGTAGGCCCTGGGTTAAGGTCCAGAAGTTCTACACGTTGATAAAGCTGAGCCCCTGTCCTCAAGGGCTTATATTCTCAGAGGAGGAATGGCAAAGGGGCATGCTAGTATCAGTATATTACCAAAAGCTTTGAGGCAGCAGGATCCTGGGTCTTTGTGGGAGCATGAAGGAGGAGAGTAAGCAGCAGCTAGGAAGGCTTCCTGGAAGAGGTGGTTCCTCTGACTTTTCCACGGTTTTTCTCTAGTAATCCACTTTGTTTTCTCAAGAAAAATAAGGGAAATTCAGGCCAATTATCTATCAACAAATTATTCCACATGTGTCAAAAGCTTATCAACATTTTAATAAATCGGTTATTTAGAAAGTTACTTACCTTACAAAGCTCCCCCTTTTCTATTTTTTTTTCCCCCAGGCTGCAGTGCAATGGTGCCACCTTGGCTCACTGCAGCCTCTTCCTCCCTGGGTCAAGTGATTCTTCTGCTTCAGCTTCCCAAGTAGCTGGGATTACAGGCATGTGCCACCACATCCATCTAATTTTGTATTTTTAGTAGAGACGGGGTTTCTCCATGTTGGCAAGCCTATCAAACTCCCAACCTCAGGTGATCTACCCGCCTTGGCCTTCCACAGTGCTGGGATTGTAGGCATGAGCCACTGCATCCGGCCGCAAAGTTACCCTTTTTGAAAATGATGGCAGGCTTTATATCCATGGCATAGTCACACACATACATCAGACTTCCTGCGAGCTTTAGTTTAGAGTCGAAGTCTACCTTGATATTTCTGACCATTGATGATTTTCAACATAGCATCTATTAAGTGGACAGTTTGGGAAAGGAGCCAAGTCAGGCCCCCAATTTCTATATAAATGCACCCCACAGCCTCTCTTCACCTTCCAGTTCCTTTTCCCTGGCTCCAAGGCTGCTCTGCCAGCTGGGCTTCGGGCCACAGCTGGCAGCAGGAGAGCAAGGCCAGGAGCAGTGAGGACTGACCAGCTGCTGTTGCCATGGCCAGAGGCCTGCATGACTGACCTGCCAGTGATTGACCTCTTTGGCCAGCTGATGCCGCGGGTCATGAACCAGAAGACGGAGGCTTCAAGAAAATACTTGTATTTTATCAGTATTATTTTCATAGTGTTTCATTTCTTCAAATACACTTCTACATTGTTTTATTTTAGATGATTGCATTGGTGTTTTACTCTGCACAATTCAGGTCTCGGTTTCTCTTTATTTTAACTCACAGATGTGGGAGGAGGCCATTGCCTTGGGCAAGGAGCTAGCCGAGCAGTATGAGAACGAAATGTTTGATTATGAGCAACTCAGCGAATTGCTGGTGAGTCTTTATTTCTTTTTATGTAAATGAACACAGACAATCTCAGCTGGTTTTTCAGGAATTTCTATCTCCATGTCAACGATGGGGTTCAGCACTCTGGGACCTTGGCCGTGTCCCTCCATTTTTCCCAGGAAGATGGTTTTAGTTTATTTGCTGGTTGATGCTTCACCCATAAATATTCATTTTTTAGTCCCAAGTCAGCTTTTATAACCAAACTCTTAAGGCTTCTAGGAACAAACTGGACATAAACAACTGCTGATCCTGTATGTAGCACTCTTGACAGCCCAGGAGTCTCTGAGGGTTTGTACTAGTTTAAAACTGGCCCCTTCTACAAGAGGGGGATGGACGGATAGTGAGCAGACCTTTCTTCTGCCATGGAAGCGCTGTAAGTTTCTAATCGCTGCTTCCTCCGCCATGTCATTTTTGTATTGAACAGATCGCCTTAATGATGTTGGAATGTTTGTCATGAATTTAGAACCATTCTGCTCTTTGAAATTCTCCTTGAATGTATCCCACTGTCTGACTCATACCATTTAAAAAATACGAAGGGCCAGCCATTTAATCAGAAGAAAACGCATTTCTACAGCACCTCTTTGGTTATTGAAAACACCCACAAGTCACAACTGGTTGCTGAATTTGGCTTGTTTGTTCAGATTCCCTTGTGGAATGATGGAGAATGAGTGAAAAATAAGGTGGAGATAATGGAGCGAGATGAAATTCAGGTGCAAGCCTCAGCACCCTCTCCCACCCTCGCCTTCTCCCATAGTCTCCCTCTCCCGCCCTACACAACTTTCCAGAGCGTAAGGAGCCCACAAAAGAATCCAGAGCCACACATGCTTGAATGCTCAAACCTGAAATGCATTTTCTTTTTCCTTCCAGAAAAAACAGGCTCAGTTTTATGAAAATATCGTCAAAGTGATAAGACCCAAGCCTGACTATTTTGCTGTTGGCTACTACGGACAAGGATTCCCCACATTCCTACGGGTAAAGTTTGATTCTGCTTAACCTGAGCCATGATTATTCCCCCAGCAGAGAGGCCCCTTCCCATTCTGAGGAAGGATAGGGACTTTCCATCCATGTGGCAATGTCGAATTCTCCACGCTGTCATAGCGCTCGCTGGTTAGCCGGGGCAGCAGAGAGGAGCTGACAAGATTTTCTTTATTTGCGTATAACCTTTCTATCTGATTTTTCCTTAAAAGGACCCTCCTGGCCGGGCGCGGTGGCTCAAGCCTGTAATCCCAGCACTTTGGGAGGCCGAGGCGGGTGGATCACTTAAGGTCAGGAGTTCAAGACCAGCCTCG